AGCAGGCCCGGATTGTGAGAGGGATGTCCAACTGCCAGTTTAGGCCTGACAGTTGGACATCCCCTAGGGGTCCCAGATTGGAGAGGGTGCAGGTCAGGCTGAGGGACATCATTCCCTCCCCGCCACCACCCCAGTGCACTAATTTCGTGCACCAGGCCTCTAGTGCTACAATAAAAAACCAAGTAGTATGCACATACTTTCTGGTCCAAGTTTGTATGACTGGAACCAACACTCAGATTGCCATGTTGTAGAAAGAGTACATAGTCTATACTAGATGTTGTAGAAAGAGTACATAGTGCACTATACTAGATATTATTACATTATATTTCACAGGATTGATTCAATTCATAGACATAACAATCATGCACAGAATTCCTATTGTTTTCTTTCCTGCCCAGTGATTAGGGTTAATATAGTTTAAAATATCTGACAATTTCATTGGTGTGTAAGGGTATCTCTTATACTTTTCATTTGTATTATATTATTTGTGAGATTTTCAATCATTTCAAAGTGTATTATCCATCTATAAACTCCTCACATCCCTTATCCTGCACTTGGAGGAATCTGACAGGTTGTAACTTATTTGGAAGAGCTCTTTATATATTCTGGATACTGATACTTTGTTATAAGGGGATTGAACAACTCTGAGAAGTACAGATGTTTCTGCCATGAAGGCATACTTCTCACTGGAGGAGGTGAGCCAGGGGGAGGGATCACAGGAAAGTCGCTGTGTTGGGTGGGGGATTTGGAGAAATCATAAGGTTCTCATTGGTTAAGTCCTAGAACATTTGTGTGCATCCAGAGCATCAGGATAATGTCTGAGACCAATACAAGATGCCTGCTAACTGAAGAGTGACCCTCACATTCTCTGTTTCCACAAGACGTTCTAGCAGAATCACTGGGAATATTTACCTCATAACATGGAGGAACAGTGAGATGCTCTGAATTCTCTGCTGGGTTGTAAAACAAATCTCCATGTCTCAAACAATTAAAAATGGAACTGCCATATGACCCAGCGATTCCACTTCTGGGAATATATCCAAAGAAACCCGAAACACTGATTGGAAAGAATATATGCACCCCTATGTTCATTGCAGCATTATTTACAACAGCCAAGATTGGAAAGAGACCCAACAATAGATGAGTAGATAAAACAGCTCTGGTACATTTAAACAATGGAATACTACTTGGCTGTAAAAAAGATCTTACCTTTTGTGACGGCATGGATGGACCTGGATAATATTACGCTAAATGAAATAAGCCAGTCAGAGAAAGACAAATACTACATGATCTCACTTATATGTGGAATTGAAAGAATATAATGAGCTAACAAAAAAAATAGAAACAGACTCATAAATACAGAGAACAGACTGACAACTGTTAGAGGGGAGGGGAGCTGGGTGAAAATGGTCAAGGATTAAGCAAACCCTACAAACTCATAGACAGACAACAATAATTAACAGAGGTTAAGGGGGTTGGAGGAAGTAGACGAGGGTGAAGGAGAGATAAATGGTGTTGGAAGGAGACTTGACTTGGGGTGGTGAACATAAAATACAGTACACGGATGATATATTATAGAATTGAAACCTATATAAATTTATTAACCTGCCACGCAAATAAGCTAAAAACTAAAATAAAATGAATAGCATATGCAATACTTGCAATCATAAAGATTAAAAAAGATAAATGATTTTTTTTTTAAAGTACAGCAGGTCATCCAGAGGAAGCCAAGCGAAAGGCAGAGGCGCTAAGCTAGTCCACACCACCAGGACCACCTTGGTCGCAACAGCAGCCTGCAAAAAAGGGCGAGTGTTGGTCCCATTTCTGAGGAAATCCTGGGTCAGGTCTCCTGGGGCTCCAGCACCCCAGTCACTCTCCATCTCCAGCCCTGCACCCACTAGAGTCACGTCTTCCCTGAACCTGCTACCCCTGCCCTAGGACCAGTAGCCTGTACCAAGCTCTGCCCACCCTTTGCACATCACAGCGTCACCCCAGCCCTGCTACAGATGTTCTGGGCTTATGGCTTAAGTGAGTAATGACTCAATAGCCTTCTTTCACTCACGTCAGACCTTCTGGGGGGTGGGAGGGTCTAAGGACCTGGTGGGAGCTCTGAGGGACAGGAAGGAGCATCCTAACATCTGACAGCTTGGGGAGGGTTGCAGTCAAACACCCTTCTTTTCCTTTCTCTCCCAGCCTCTTACCTAGCAGCACAGGGAACTCTCAGTATGAAAGTCCCCGCCCTTCCCATCCATTCATGGTCAGCCCCAGTTAAAGGCAGGAGCCATTCAGAGGCTCAGGATCTGGAGTGTGGAGGAGGCTGGCTGCCAGGTGACTGCACCAGGGCTCAGCCAGAAATCCCAGGGGTTCACTGAGAACTAGCCCCCTTCTAACCTTACTCTTGCCTCCCTACACTGTCCTTACTGTTTGCCTCCCTCCTTTCTGGCTCTTTTGAAGCCACTTTCTGGGAAGGCGGATGTGAACTCCAGCATTTTGAGTTGGGTCTGCCAGGCATTCCGCCCTTTTCCTGGCATTAGACCCAGGCCCCTCTCCTCTCAGTCCGCTGGATAATCCTCTCCCCCTGGACACATCACATGCAGCCAGCATGCGGCTCTCACATGAATGTGAGCACTGCCCATGCCCTGTGTGCCTGCTGTCCCCACACCACCCACACTGGGCCCAAACACCCTTTCCAAACAGAGAATCTGATTCAGAACTGAATTCTCTAAACCCCTTCAGCATCTACAGGCCTTAAGCTTGGTCTGGGCCCTTCCCTTTCCCGCTGGCATTAACAGTGAGGAGATGCCCAACTCAGGGCTGAGCTTGTCCAAGTTATGGCAATAAAGTGATAATATGTGTAGGTCTCTTGGGCTAATTTCCAGGAGGAGAAGTGTCATTGAGGTTGTAGTGGTTGGGCTGGGAATTCACCTCTCCATATCTTCACTGCAGGCCATCTGCCCCTCACTTCCCACTCAATCCTGCCCTCAGTAACTGTAATTGCAAGGACCCACCTAGGAAGCCAACTATGGTTATCCAGGTGAGGATCACAGGGCAGATCCACCAGGCGATGGGCATGTTCATTGCGGCCTTGGATGGGACTGTGGCTATGGCAGTGGTTGATGCAGCTGCAATGGAACACAAGAGTGACATCTGTGCAGAGCTCAATTCTAAGAAGATGGCTCCTCAGCCCCTTCAGTCCCAGGCAATCTTGTTATGCAGATGGTATCTACCCTCTAGGTGTGACAGCCAAAGTGACATATCCTGGGGTGACAAATCAATGATAGAAGATGGGCACTGCCCCCTTGGTTCCATAAAGCTCATGAGGGAAGCAAGGGTTATAATATACCCAGTCACTCCTGCTGTGACAGAAGAGGAGGACACTCATGAGGAAGGTGGTAGAGAAGTCTCCCCAGGAGCTGCATTGAGGTGATATTGAAGGATTTCCAGAAATAGGGGAGAAATGATGAAGAAAAGTGATGCCAAGAAGAGGGAACAGTAAAGAACAAGTCTGAAAACAGATTCCTGAGGAGATGAGAAGGGAAAGGAAAGATGGTAGAACACACCCATGGCCATTACTCTCCCAAGAACTCGCCGCACATTAATCACTTTTCAAACACACTCACACCCATTCACACACACGCTTACACGCTGAGACACACACACACACACACACACACACACTTACACACACACATTCACACAAGGGTAGGTCTAGCTTATCTCAAGAGAACAACACCATCCCTGTCTCCCCTGTTACCTGTTGTCTCCAGCTCTTTCTTCCAGTGCACCGAGCATTGATGCAATTTCTTGCAGTCTCCCTTGAAGGTCCTTTAGAAGAATTCCTTCAAATACTCAAAATCCTCATCATTCTTCCACTCATTTATCAGCCATTCACCTAGAGAATTATTATCCGCTCTAAACTCTTCTGTCTCAGAGGAGTCAAAGGTAAGGAGCCTCTCTCCACCCAAGGAAAACTCCAAGGATCCACTGGTTCTTCCATCGGCTTTGCACATGCACGTCATCCTGACCTGCAGGGGGAGAGGAGCTGCCCCACAGTCCCCATGGGAAAGACATCAGCCTCTGGTCTTGACAAATGCTTCACCCACCTGGCGTCCACCTCTTCTGAACACTTCTAACCCTGCCCTGCTCTCCCTGCCCTTTCTGCTGGCCCCACAATCTGCTCACTAATGCCCTTGGATTTTTTAAACTTACCTCCATCTGGGTATTCCTCCTGTTTAATGACAGGCAGTAATTCTTTGATATCCTCAGGCACATCGTTCAGGATAGTGGGCATTACTTTACAGGAATTCGTGGCCTTTCCCTCATCTCTCAGGAAATTTATAGGTATGTCCTTATTATTGCCACATTCACTTGAAAGAAACACCTCTCCATCCATCTGTCCTTGGACCATGCACCATGGTTGTTCATTAAAAGAAATGTTGAAATCATAGTGAAGAGAGTAAGAATCTGTGAAGGAAAAATGCTGCTCAGGATTGGGGTTGGAAGAAAAAGACCCAAAACACCACTCCCCCATCTCTGTGACAGCAAGACCATCCACAGGACAACTGGGCTGGCAGAGCAGGCCTGACCCTGCCCAGTGCCTCCCTTCACCAGGGGAAGGTTGGTGCGCCTTCCTTACTTGAGGAGGACCAGGAGGCGTCTGTCTGCCAGGAAACCACACATCTCCAGATATGTCCTCCCTGAGTCCACCAGGCCTATACTCATCATCAGCCCATAACCAATGCAGGAACATGCCAGGTGGCTAGGAGGATAGGTCTAGATGCCCGAGGATTGTCAGAAACTGGCCCAGTACCCAGCATGTAGGGGCTGCTGTTGGGAAAGCTGGGTGGCAGGTGGAGGAATTTGGATTCATTCTAAGGTTGGAGAAGGGGAAGTTTACAATTATGGGTCATGGGATTTTGCATGGCCCAGGGAGGTAGTACTAACTTGCTGCTAGGATAGATCTTGCAAGCTTGGGAGAAGGCATGGCTACAATGCGTGGGACAGAAAAGCCAGAACTTCTGAGGCACATAGGAGAGGAAGGGACCAGATGGCTCAGAGAAGTGACTATGCCAGGGGGAGACGATATGAAAAGGCATGAGAGTGTCCAATCAACCTGCTCCCTGGGAAAGTCTAAAGCTAAATTCTGGTTTATGAAGCTGATGAGGAAAGCATGGATAAGAAGAACACCAGAATTCTCCAAAAGCTCACTGATGACTTTAGCTGAAGGTCAGGAATCTGATAGGGTCTGTGTTCCCCAAAATGGCTTCCAGTAGTAACAGGGACAGACAATGTCAACCTAATAACTTATAGGTACAGGTGCGCGATGTAAAGACAAAGGAGATATGATCATCAAAATGATTAGGAAGCTCAGAAATCAGCCAGAGCCTCAACCACAGAGACCTATGACTATGGCTCATAGAAAAGGGTGATCCTGGAGCAGAGATGGTGAACCTTTTGAGCTCGGCGTGTCAGCATTTTGAAAAACCCTAACTTAACTCTGGTGCTGTGTCACATATAGAAATTTTTTTATATTTGCAACCATAGTAAAACAAAGACTTATATTTTTGATATTTATTTTATATATTTAAATGCCATTTAACAAAGAAAAATCAACCAGGAAAATAAGTTCGCGTGTCCTAGGTTCACCATCACTGTCCTAGAGGCAAAGGATCAAAAGCCCAGCTGGATCCTTACCTCTGGATTTAAATAATTAAAACAAACAAAGACAAAACACATAGTATGGATATTTAAGTATAATATTCTCAAACTGTCTTCCCTTTTTCTCTAAATAGAAAGTTAAAACAGTATTTTATGCCAGCTGGTGTTGCTCAGGGGTTGAGTGTGCACCTATGAACCAGGAGGTCACAGCTTGATTCCTGGTCAGGGCACATGCCCAGGTGCTGGTTCGATCCCCATTGCAGGGAGGGAGTGGGCATGCAGGAGGCAGCTGATCAATGATTCTCTATCATTGATGCTTCTATCTCTCTCTCCCTCTCCCTTCCTCTCTGAAATCAATAAAAATATATTTAAAAACAAGCAAACAAAAAAGTATTTATCCTGGATAAAACGACAGAGATGAATACCAACTTTAAAATCTAAAGGGTGAAGGATATGAATCATATTCTATAGCCATGTAGTAACAGTCTGCCTGGAGACTTTCTGTAAATGGCTAGCTACTAAGTAGTTTAGACTGTGCAGACCATAGGTCTCTTTGCAACTACTCAACTCTCTGTTGTAGCATGAAAGAAGCCAGACAATATGAATGAATGAATGAATGAATGAATGAGAGTAGCTGGACCTGCCACTAGGGCCCCGTGAACCACAGCATCTTGGACACTAGAGGTGTCAGTGCTGGGAAAAGTTGGTCTGTACTTCAAGGCATCCTAATTGGAGAAGTCATATCACAGACGCACAGGGTCAGAAGACAGGCCATGCCACTTGCAGCAGGGAAATCCGCACCTGATGGAGATGAGGCCTCTGGCTAAGGGGTATCAGCATTGCCCAGCATGAGGGTCATTAGGTTAGGTAGGCTGAGTGCTTATAAGGTAAAAGTGACTTTTCTGGCACTTAAGTGAGCAGGGTCACAGGGAACAAATGAGATGCAGTAGCAGATACATTCATCCTGACACTAGAAATGTTGCAACAGCAGGACCTCAGCTCATACCTATGGTTTCATGCAGTGCCTCTCATGTTCCCCTTTCACCAAGGAATCCCATCTACAGAAAGTGGGGAGCACTGGCTGCCCCGCCTTTCACATTCACTCCTGGTGCCCAGTCCAGAAGCCACAGGCAGGACAGGGCCTGGTTCTGGCTCTTCAGCAAACGGTAGAGGCACCTGGGAGATGATTCCCTAGGGGAGGGACACCCATATGTGGGACAACCTATATGCCCTAAGTCTGGGGACAGCAAACTAGGAGAGCGAACACATCTGGTCCCTCATTTGTTTGAATGTGGCCTTTGGCTGCTTTTGTACCACAAACATGGAGGTGCCAAGTGCTTTCAGATTATAAGAGGTCTGTGAAGAAAAAAATATTCAGTTTGCCCTTTATAGAAGAAGTTTGCAGACTCCTGGTTAATTTATGACCTTTATATGCTGCTGCCTCTGAAGTAGGTAGAAAATGTGGGTTTGGGATCAAAGGATACAGAGAGATTGCCCTTCTTCACTATCATTCCCAGGGTCATACCTTTGGAAAAATGTGCTTCCTGTCCCTCCTACTCTAGGTTCTGTGGGCCAGGTGCAGAGGATTTTGCTGTCTGTCCTGAGGCAAGTGGATTAGAGGCCCTTTGGTGGAGCAAGTGATCAGGGTCACTTCACAGATGAGAAAGTATTAGAGGCATTGGTGTTCTTGGGACCCAAAAAAAATGGGTGATCTGGGGAGGGAGCAGCATTAGTGATGACAAGTGGCTGGTGAAGTGAGCTTCCCTGGGGCTGCAGGTTCCATGATCTGCTAGCTGAGTGCACTGGGCAGTTCTAAGGAGGAGAGCAGTAGAGGTAGTGGACCGTGTGCGTGGGAAAGTAGTGTGAGTAGAGTAGGGGCATAAGGTCATCTGTGGGTCTAATCCTGAGGAAACGCTCCTGTCCTGATGCCTGGGGTTATGGGATAGGGGATCCCAGTTTCCCAGAAGCAGGACATGAACCAGGGGCAGGAGAATTGCCTGCGTATGACAAGTAATGTGTGTGTTTCAGCGGAATTTCTTGCTGCACACACTCTCCCTTCTCTCTTCTCCCCTGGCGCACTTATTCCACATCACTTTTTCTCCCTAGCCACTTGGTTGTTTGTTTGTGGTTTTTTGTTTGTTTGTTTGTTTGTTTGTTTGTTTGTTTACACCTTGAGCCCCAACCCTTGAGTGCTCATCAACCAGCAACTCTGGCACAAACACCTAAGCCACAAGCCACAGCATCTGCCAGCCAAGCTGAGCCTCTGGCCCTGCTGTCACCCCACAACACAGGGAATCTACCCCCAAATACTCTCAACCCATCTTTTTGCACCCACCAGACCAGGAGAAAGGAGAGATGTCCCCTAGACAGGCCACTCCAGTCCCACTGCAGCCAAATGAGGGCAGCACACAACCCCACTCAAAAGGGCCCCACCCCCAAACCTCCACATCCCCCAACCCTGCCC